TATGTTATGAGTCCCATGTAATAGGGGGTAAGCCTATTGCCATATACCAGACAAAAGGCACAATTCCAGACTCCGTACTACTACCTACTGAGATTTTTTTTTAATCCAGTAATACTTTGCCCGACCCGGGAATCGAACCCGAGACCCCTTGCCCGGTAGTCGCACTCGCAACCACTAGGCCAACTAGGCAGTCTATAATTTCGATCTTATTTTATACACAATTGATTGCCTATGCCAGTATCACTTCTCCGTGTGAGAAGAAGACTTTAAATAGGACCGTTACAGGCTGATGATGACGATAATGACATAGATAACTTGTCAAAGTATCAGCATATGTCACTGTTTCTCATTTTTTATCCAACACATAAACTGCAAGTTCCTCATTACCAGTTATTTATTGTATCACTGTAAAATAAATAGAATGTGGATAAGATAGGTACGATAAAGCAAAGATTCTTCCCGTCTGCATTTACCATTCTTGGTATTCTCATCTCCGTTAGCCATCGACATGTAAGCGTATGGTAAATTAGCGAAAAATAATCGTTACATCGGACGTATGCGCGTGCGCCGCAAGCCGGCCCTTTTTCTTCACCGGCTCACTGCATTCCCCGTAAGCGGTGTCTTAGATGTGCAGTGGGATTATAATGGACTATGTAGGTTGTATACTGATGATGTGCAATTTATAATCTTGTATGTCCGTCTGTGTAGCTGTTTGTGCCACTATCCTCTCACTTGTATACGTAATTTGAATTTTAAATCTATTTCTGTGTAGGTTTTTGTTTTTAAATGTGTTATATTTTAGGATTTTCCAAGATAAAAGTGGTGACAGAATAGGGTAGTGCAGTGTAGGACAATTAAAAATGTAATTAGTCCGTCAGTTATATAATGAAAAAATATTAGACATATATTTTGTCGTATAAGAAAACAACACTTAATAAAACGGAGTTAAGTATAGGAGTGGGAGGTCGTTACGTCACGCTGCCCTATAAAATGTAGTAAATCGTGACGTCACACGATATTTCAAATCAATATATCGTCGAAAGTATTTAATTTCGTAAGAAAAGAAAAATACGTGTTTAATAACATAACATAACATAACATCACGCCTTTTATCCCCGAAGGGGTAGGCAGAGGTGCACATTATGCCACTGTACAATGTAACACCCACTTTTCACTATTTATGTTATGAGTCCCATGTAATAGGGGGTGAGCCTATTGCCATATACCGGGCAAATTTCCAGACTCCGTGCTACTACTGAGATTTTTTTTTTAAATACCCCTGTAATACTTTGCCCGACCCGGGAATCGAACCCGAGACCCCTTGCCCGGCAGTCGCACTTGCGACCACTCGGCCAACGAGGCAGTCGTTTTAATGTTTTAAAATAATCTACTAGACGGACATTGAAATATCATTTATAGCGTTAAACGCATCTAATTCTTATATTATGCATTTCTTATATTAGTATTATATATGCTCATTTAATTATTATCTACTACGAATGTAATTTATTAGATGAAATTATTGTCTAGGGCTGAAATAATTTAATGCAAATGTATAGTAATAACTTGTTCAACAAATTGTTACCAAGGGACTATAATAGCCTATAGATAAAAACTTGTGCGTAACGATTTATAAAGAACTAAATAAAGTGGTGCTGATATAAAAAATATATATATAAAGCCTATAAAGAAATATTACATAAATAAAAAAAAGAAAACAACTCGGCGGTAGGTAATGTAATGTTATTATTATGACTTGAAAGTTTAACGGGTCGACTGCTATCTTCCTTTATAGTGGCTATGTGCGCCAGCGCAACTGATAATCTTTTAAACTCTGAGGGCCTAGTGCAAGTTTGTTTTACGTTTAATAAGATCGTAACGTAAACCGCGTTCGGCACTTTGATTGGTCGACTCTAATAAACCAACCAATCAGAGGGCCCCGACGGCGGGCTCATTTCGATTAATTTAAACGTAAACCGAAACTTGTACTACGCCCTCTGTTTGCTACACGTGATACTACTGACACTGGGTTGCTACGGGTAATCTTACGGTAGCTGTTTACTCTAAACTTGTTGTTTAATAATACAGACTGTAGTAAAGACGTCACTGGAAGTCAATGTTTAAAAATATCGCCCGTTTTATGATTATTTTATAAAACAACATGCCTAATTATTATAAAATGAGTTATTTCCCGAGTATAGAGATATATGTGTTAGGGGGTTACCTAATTTGTACTTAAACTGTCAAACACCAAGCGGTCACCGGTGACCGCAACCTATTGTTCTATAATTGTGTCTACAAAACCGGTACTCGACGAGTTAAAATCCATTTCTTATTACGTAATGAGAAATATCTAATCGACTAAGTACCTATAAGACCTAACGACTGCGACTGCCGGGCAAGGGGTGTCGGGTTCGATTCCCGGGTCGGACAAAGTATTACTGGTATTAAAAAAATACTAGTAGTAGCATGGAGTCTGGAATTGTGCCCCGTATATAGCTATAGGCTTACCCCCTATTACATGGGACTCATAACATAAATAGTGAAAAGTGGGTGTTACATTATACAGTGGCATTAAATGGCGTAATGTGCACCTCTGCCTATCCCTTCGGGGATAAAAGGAGTGATGTTATGTTATGTTACCTATAAGCCCTTTGGATTTATTGGGAGTGCCCAAAAAAGTGGTATAACTGTCGCAAAGTGTCGAATTGAAAACGTTTTTGCAACGGATGGAATGTCTTTGTAAATGTAAAAAGGCTATAAGATGTTACATGATATTTTAATTTAATTCTTTTCCTTGATACTTTGCAGTAACAAATGTGCCCAGTGCCCAGTAACAGTGTATTTATTAACATTTATTCGCAATCCGACACAACGACAAAAAGACCAATAAATATTGCAGTACTTACATATATAACCTTTTTGCTCATCATCATCATTTCTTCCTTGATCATATATTTGCTGAAATTTAAGACCAATTTCAAATTCAAAAGGTAGGTAAGACTTGTAGATAGCGAATGTAAAATAAATGACCTCGTGATGTTTGTCTCCGGAGTTTTTTCTACTATGACAATAGTGTGCAAACACATATCTAATTACGTTTTTACATACATAATTTCAAGTTAAAATTGATAGGAATATTCTTTTGATGAATGTGGAGTACCTACTAAGTATATTAGTGTTTTGACAGGACCTTTTTAGGCAACATCAGGTGTCCTATCTCTGACCTCTATAAAAAAAGTTTATAAGTCATCGCGGTTTATCAATGGCGCACTGTGTGAATATCATAAGCGTTATGATACATTGCGCATCATGTGGCTGGGCTGCTGACCTGAACGGGCCACATAAAAGAAAAAAAAAGTAAAAAAACTGGGTACGATTCACCCAGTTTATAAAAAACTATACAAATGACAAGTGGGTTATACACTCCGTAAGTTGGTGTGAAGAGGTCGAGAAAATAGAACAAAAAATAGAATTTATATATTTTTTTTGCTCTACAAACAGTACGTTTGAACGCATTCCGCGGCTCGGCGTAGTATATACAATTGTCTTTCCAAAGATTTATATCGTTCGAATTTCAAAGTGATTGAATGCCAAATGAAGATTTAAAAGAGGTTATAAAAGCGTGTCAACACTAAAGTTAAATAACAGTTAAGTAAACAAAACGTAAATCAGTAAATGAATATGTTTTGATAAACGTAAATAACGTTTTGGGCGTTAAAAAATGTTCGGTTCACCAGAAGGGATGCTTCAATCACATCTTGAAGCATGGCGTGCTTCTTTGAAGTGAGACAAAGCATTGTTTATTGGTATTGGTTGCACCACCTCAACGGAACATCAGCTCAAGAAGAATAGGTTAAAACCTAACGTATGTTCGTCATCGGCAAGCTTCGCTGGAAATACTCGGAAAACAGTGGTTTCTATTTTTCAATTCTGGAGCGCAAACATTTTTCGTCGACGCGTTTATTGTTATCATGAAGCAGCCAGATGGTGTTGGGTAAGATTTCATTTAGAGTTTGTTAGTACAATAAATAAGTAGATATAAGTAGTTAGGTAGGTATGATTCACATCAATATTAAATCATAATAATAACTTTACTTACGCCTGTTGTTCTTCAACCGTGGTAGGTAGTGCTTCCTTCATAATGTCTGCTGCTATTAATCTCACAAAGTACTTTTTTTAAGGGGCTTAATATCACTTAATATCATCGAATGTCTTCTTCCGCCTGGGTCAGGCAGGAGGGAGGGTCAGACTCTTACTGACTAAAAACTATCCCGTTCCTTCTCCTGCACTTCGAGCCAGAGCCCCGGTAACCCGTTAAGTTCTCCGCGGCAATATAGTTAGCATAAGGTTGACAATTTCGGTCCCAATACTATTTTGCCTGACCCAGAGTTCACACACAACCAAAGAAGCCGTTGCACAATCGCCTCACTACTTAAGTTTTATTTTTACAGCCGAGTATGGATTACCAAGCCAGCCGGATTACCAGCTCAGATTACACGCACCATCTTGTCTTGTCTACGAATAGATCACCTTTGTTCCACAGGCGCGGTTAGCGGGAGCCGTCTGAGATCAAACCAAGTACCACCTGGAAACTAGTTTATCTATCCTAGGATCATAGGTTTAAAAATGAATAAATTTGTCGTAGGTACTTAATTATAAATTGTCCAGTCACTACATGTCAAAACCAATTAAGGGGCGGTTTTAATCGGAATAATTTTGTGTTAATGCACAGATTTTGTAATTAATTAAGTAAATAGGTATTTATTTTATGAAATTTTAGGCCAGGTATGGAAATAATTTAAAAAATATGTGCATAAAAAGCAAACGTTAATGAGATACAAAATAAATATTTACTTACCCAATGAATTAAAAGTTTAAGGAAATATGAAATGTGTGAATTCCCAAGATAATAAATGGTCAAGAAGAACATGGATTTTTTCAACCGTCAATTAAAGATAAAAAGTTGACATAACAGACCTTTATTTCTATTACTCATACCTCCGAGAAGTAGACAAATATGAATAACTAAATTATAAATGAAGAATTATAATTAATATTCGTAAAAGCATGACTGATTTCATGATTTCATTCTTTACTTTAGCATAGAGAATTAGTTCATGGTTTTTAGTGTGAAAGGAATATATAAGTGCTTAATTATAACCATTATGTAGAATAGTACAACGAAGAGGAACAATTAAAAAAACAAAGAGCAATAATCATACTCATTTCTCAAAAAAATAACTGTTTATGTAAACGGAACGAATACGGATGTGACCGGCTGGCTCCAATGTGGCTCATTATATCCTGTTGCATCAATTACAGAGTATTGGGTATCGATACTTATATCGATGATTTCCAGTAATCGAAATGAATTATACGCTTACTAACTTTTCTCATCATTTTTATTATTTTTTAAATAAACAATCGTCTCTCTTGGCTGTAATACTACGAAATAAAAAAGGAAACAGATGTAGCTTAACATAAGACTGACTACAATCACTTGGACTATAAAATATCTCCACCATTCGTGCACAGTATTGTCTATGGAAATCCAGAGGCCAGTGAACACAACGGTCTCTATAGTACACACTATAACCCAGAACACATGCCACACACGCACGTGCCGGAAACGTATCTTAAACTCCATCAAGCAGAATAAGTATATGAACGCAAGGAATATGTAGAACGCTCTCCTCACGGTACTCGCTTGTGGCACTATCAGGAACAATAACATCACCTGGTAGTGCGAAAACAAGATTATGATGGCAAGAAATGGAAAGAAATTGATGAAACATGCTATAGAGAGCAGACGGGCTACAAAAAACGAGTACCATCCCAAGAAGTGCACTATTGCTGCTGTGGCGTCTTGAGGTTCAAGACCTCGTATGAAGGATCTTGGTACACGTCGTGGGATGTCCGGCTCGTCTCGGACTACTTCATCACAGTATTTCCTTCTTGGTGGTGCTGATAGCCAGGTAGGAATAGATTCCGCATTTTCCACCATTTTCTCTGCCCACAAGGCAAATGACATCGGTCTCGGAGCTAACATTACGGGCGGCGGGATTATTTCTACTTTCTCTATAGTGTAATCTGTATTTCGTCTTAATGGCGCAACCCTATCAATTATTGTTATTGGCCTTATGTATTCGTCGTCACTATTTAATTCTTGTGATCCTGAAATATCTCTTTTAGGCGGTAAATAGTCTGAGCTTGTATCTGAATCTGTAAGTTCTTCGTTGTCGAAGAACGCAGAAGACATTTCAACAGTATTTCTTGGAGAGAACTTTATTAAATCACTAGTCGTATTTCGGAATTTAGTGTTGTTTGAATTGTCTGAAATTATTGAGTCCTTTTTCCTGATCGATTCGTAAATCGTTTCTTCGTCTACTGATGTCGTTTTGTTCGCTTCTGCGTCATCAGGTTGGTCTTTATCGTTGTCATTGTCGTCTTTATCCAATAAAGGATCCGAAAACTCCGTCCCCCATGGATACTTGCGTCCACATATCTTTTCTCTTTCAAATCTTCTGTACATCGTGACCGTACTAGCCATGCGGAGAGTGGATGCAACAATGCTAATAGCTTGAACTGAAACTAGAACAATAAAAGTAAGTAATTGAGTAGGTAAACTTTAAATTTAAAAATAAATTAGGTACAAATATTTAAGTACCTTTATCGTAAGTCATGTCAGACCATCGAACCATCAAATCAAGGATGTTGATGATAGCATGTGGAGCAGCGTGGAGGAAGGATTGCAAGAACAGATACAGCTCTACGGGAGAGGGGGCGCGAGCTATTCGAATGGCTTCTTTTGTTCGTTCCTCGTCATCGCTGCGAGATGCACTGACGGCTTCCACCCACCAGAAAATTAGGTAGCAGTATCTGTAAACATCATTTAGTACACAGATAACATAACATAATATTACAACATCTTATAAATTGGATAAGGATAAGGAGTCCACCTGGTGTATTTTTAGCTTGTAACTAATGAATTGATTAAATAATTAATGTAGGACGTTGTTCTTTGAGTACATATACCCGAAACAAAACAAAAGGTCTAAGCCAACTACTTACTTACTTAAAATTACAATTTTATACTCTATCATAAACATTTGTTTAAGTAAAAACATTTTTACATTTTACGACCACTCATTAACACCGACTTTGGACAATGTGTCAAAGAATCTGTAACAACTAACAACCTAATCGTTTAACACTCTTCGGTAATGATTTTAATACTTAAGCTTTACCGTTCTTACCCAGTTACTAGCTCATGAAGGTAGGTAATTATCTATTACACTTGACACAATATTAGACTCGTTGGTTACAATCATATACATCTAGGTACCTAATTTAATTGCAAAGGACTTTAAATCCCTCTTGAGTGATTGACAGGTTAACTTACTCTAGTTGTAGTTGTCAATTATGTAATGAATTAACGGAACAAAAGAAATAAATTCCTAAAATTCCTGTGTTGTTTGACTAGTTCTCCTGGAAGTTGGTTAACGATTTTTAGTTGTGATAGGCGCCACAGACATATTAATTACTAATTGTATGCTAAGCACGAAGTTTGAGATTAAGTCAATAATAAGAAGATCCATCAACTACTACGCTTCATAAACAGCGCATCATCTGATCGCTTACCACCAGACGAGATTGTTGCCAAACGTCGATCCATAACATATAAAAAAATATGACTACAAACCTTCCAATTGCAGCAATGGGAAAGAAGATTGCGTTAACAATCTGTAAGAGCAGCCATTTTATGTCGCTCTTCTCTATAGTCACCGAATATGCTGTCAGATCAGGCCGGAAACCAGGCGGAGGTGACGCCAACGTGAACACAAGTGAAATCAGTGATGGTAGTCCTATGAGAATTGTGCAAAATACTCCCATTCTGTAGACAAAAGAAACGAATTATTTAAATTAGAGAAACTATGTTTACAAATTCTTCGCGCCATTTGCATTTTTGAATGTTTAAGATGTGTAGGGAAATGCAAGGTGGTACCTGAGTAGGTATGTTTTCTTATCTTGTTCACTGAATATAAACAATAAACATTACACGTTCTATTCTCCAAAGTGATAAGTAAAGCCTGTAAAGGTGTCTGTTACGGTTACAGGATTACGTTAGCGACTTAGGGGCCCATATAGGCTGAACATGAGTACCTACTTATGACCAGATAACCAGACCGAACGCTGCCCAAGATTCGTGAAGAACGCACGAAATACAGGTGCAAAAATCGCTAATTGTAACCAATAGCTTACACATCTACATTTGCTGACTTACCCTTCACTTCCATTTAAAAAATGTTCGACTATGATTGTAAAATCATAACAAATTAGGACTATGTAGATGATGAGGCCGCCGCAGGAGGGCAGCACTCGATGCAGCAGAAGTGCTTGCCATGCCGGCAACTTCAACCCGAGCAACTCTCCCGAAACTTCTTTGTCCAATTCACAGGTCACCATTTTATTTATCTTTCACTCATCATAACTTTTATCATAATAAAAAAACTTCACTATCTGAGATCATGATGGCACTACCCGGACACAATATTATTTCATAGCTAAAACAGAGGTTTTAGCAAAGATACATAAAAATAAAAACTGTTTTGCTCGAAACAATTGTACATAAAGAAAATGTGTTGTATTCGTATTCCCCACGCCCATTGATAAAGATAAGATAACAGGGCTGAGTCAAATATGTAGATAACTTCTATGACATACTTAGTTTATTAACTGGTTGGTGCTACCAGGTATCTATGTGAGTATATTTGCGTTTTTATAGCAAACAGTAGGCAATTCATACCGAGGGTCCATCTGTTTAGGTGGGTGGGTACTTACTACACAAATAACCGACTTTATAATTCATGTTTTACTTCGAAATACATAATGTAGGTACCCACATGTACGCACCTATAATGGCCTATGTAAGAGAGCCCTTGAAACTACTACTAACATGGATAAATACCTAAAATCTGAATGTTGTGAGGACGTATAAGTTCCTGTTACTATTTCATGGAGCTGAACTAGTAACGTAACGTATTCCGTCGTCCGTATGCATATCTAACATGGGCTAATAGTCCATGAAAGTGTTTATTACAAGAGTCGATATTTAATATTTAGGAGCATTGAAAATACCAGTCTTCTACACCATTTTAAGTATTTTCATAATTTAAAGTTAATCTAAAAGAATTAAGGTTCGTATCGAGCCTCATGACCTATGAATACGAACAGGTATATAATTATCATGTGTAGCCCTTAAGTAGCTACCTAGTAACGTAGGAACAGTTAACAAAAATTTTGAAGGTGTTTGTCTTATTTGGTGTACATAACTACAGCATTTCATTTTAGATTATTTTAATCAAAAAATGTTTGATACTGTAAGGCAAAAACAACAAGAAGAGCAATTTGGAATTAAAGTAAACTACCTACAAAAAACAAGCTGTATAATGTCATTTATGACATTGACAGATTGATTGACGTTTGTAGTTTTTACGTTTGTTTAGGTTAGATTGATAGAAATTTTCTAAAGTGGAATATATCGGAGATTAAATTCTCTAACAGTATAAGGTCGTTTATATTCCATAAATAGATTGTAATTGGCATTGAAAGACAAAATGTTGAGGAAAATTTTCTCAAGAACACTGAGTCCTAGGAGTTCATTAGTGCGGTGTGTTAATACTGTTGATATCAATAGGCAAATACACTGTGGTGTTTGTTTAAGGATCCCTAGGTATACATCCAAACCAAACAGTACCTCACCAGCTTTAGCTACCAAGTATCAAGTGATTACAGATGAAAATACCGTAGTCATTGAGAACACTGCAGAGGAAAATCCAACTGAAAACAGATATCCTTTACTCAGTGATGAGTTTGATGGTATCAACCTAGAGCGTAAGTCATCTACTATTAAAGTTAAGTGTGATACAAAAGAGACAATTATATATGGACCTAATAAATATTACACTCTTTCTAGGAGGTATAAATGGTGTTTTTGAAATCGAAGACCTTGTAGAACTATTACAACGAGAAAACTGCAAGGATATATTTGTAGCTGCCGTCACTAAAGACATCCGTTATGTGGACTACATCTGTATAGTCAGTGGAAGGAATAAGAGACATATTTTAGGTATAGCCGAATTTGTTCGAAAAGTGTATAAAAAGAAATGTTATAAATCAGATTATATTCCTAGGATAGAGGGCAAAGAATCTGATGAATGGATGGCATTAGACTTAGGTGAGTACCTGTATTAAACCCATATATCCCCAAGCTTTATAGACCTTATTTCCAATGTATACTACAGATACTACAGGTTAAACATTATAGTCTTAAATTATTTCAACTGTAAAGATTACAGCTAGTTCATCACTACACATGAGCAACTTCTGATGAAATAATTAGACTCATGCAGTAAAAGATCTTTTTAATTTCCATCAGCTAAGAGAGCTTGTAGGCTAATAACCTTTTGGCCACACATATCCATGTTCCAAATAGATGTCAAACAGGTTACCTATATTGTATATTAATAATATCTTTCGTTATTTTCAGGTAACATTGCATTACATGTCTTCACTGACAAGGCTAGAAAAGCTTATGACTTGGAGACTCTATGGTCTGTTGGGGCAGAATATGATGACAAGATGAACAAGAACAGCGAAGTTGTGGACATATTCGAGAACTACAGTGATTATTTGAAAGATCTTAAACCATTGGGATCATAATACTGTAATTTACATAAACTGTATTGCCTCACTAGGACTGAATTAAAAACCCTTTAAAAGTCTCATATAAAATGTTTATTTCTGCTTAATTACATTAAAGATACATATATGGATTGTATAATTCAATCACAATTCACAATCTAAATAATCATGAAACATTGAATTCAATAATTTCATATCAATTAAATAAAAACAATTATCCACATTATTTCCATTGTTATAAGAACATTTATTATCCATTTCAATCATTGTTGTAGGTTATCATATGTCTGTATATAAAGATACTAATATAATTTGATATATAAAATAACAATTTGGCATAATTTATAACTAGCTCAGAATTTTAAATGCAGTAATATGACAATGTAAAATTATACAAAAGAACAGCGGTTGACTAATACATTCATACCACAATCACAAGATCCTTAGTTCAGTCAAAATGCAGTTGCACATACTAGTACACCTAAGTAGTATACACTAAGTAGCATAGTTTTGAAAGCAACCTAACTTTAGTGCTTTATGAGTTAAACCTAACTATGTATAAGGATAAAATAGTATTGGAAGCCAATCAGTAATACAGACTGTAACATATTTTGTGTAGCAAATTAGCATATTATTATAATTCATAAAAAAAACGTTTGGACCACCAACAAGTCTTTCATTTTAGTGACTACATAATTATTAAATTTATGAGCATACAAAACTTATTGCACTGCCAATATAAAGCATTTGTGCACATACCAAAATTAATTACATTTTTATATTATTCAGTGTAATCTTTATGACTTATAAGAGTTATGTTATAAAACTGGTATAAAATACCCCATACTATTGATTTCACTACCTTCTGCCTAACGATGCATCATCAAAATAAATGGAAATTTTACATTTGTCATTTTATTAAAATCAAAATGTCAAATAAAACCTATAATAATCACAATTGATGATACATCATCAAGCCTTTATTATCAAGGCAATAGTTGGCAGTAATTGATGTCAAGTATTAATTAATACTTAAATATTGACATATTGTAACTTAATGTTGGATATTAAATTAACATTCGTCGGGTGCAAAACTTCTAAATACAATACATTCTTATAAAATACACAAATATTATCTGTTAATTTGTGATTCATTTTGGATCTCAATTTTGGCTCATGACTAATCAATTATGACAATATGGCTACACTTCGCCTCACGCCAGCACCTGAATTGACATTGTCTAAGCTTGACCATTTCTTAATGCCATTTTTCACCACTTCAGCAGCTATTTTATCTTCCATCACCCTAGACATTGCCTCTAACTTTTGTGCTCTCTCTTTACTCAAAGGTTCACTGGGGAATGCCAAATCATTGGCTTCAGCAAGTGTACGAAGATCAAAATAGTATTTAGCATATACACTAGATGGTACATTGATATTAAATTGCAACATTTCCAAAAATTGCCTCTCTAGCTCATTCATATCCTCCACCGTGATATCTTTTAAGATCTGGCAGTAGTCCACATTCCACACAGCTTGGTCATCCCACACTTTACTTGCTAATAAGATAGCTCCCAACACTATTCTCTTCCAATTAGATGGAGCAATGTCTAGCTCAGCACATATTAGAAGGCGCTCCAAGTACACCAAAGTGATAATAGCACATTCAGCCGTTAGCTGTGCAGCATTGAACAGTGTTCTTACAAACCTGTATATTTGTTTGTGCTCAGGGTTATATTTATCATAATCATCACTTACTCCTTCTTTACTAAGAGGGTGGAGTTTCTCATCAAATATGTCTAACCTGCGCTCCGATGTTCTATTCTTTATATGATAGTAAATAGCAAGGGCTACACACTTGACCGTGTTCTTCAGATTAGGCTGAGATACCGTACTATCATCTAAATAAATAGTTGAACAGGAACTGCTTTTTTTGAGCTTATTATCAGCAATTTGATGTTGACTGCGTTTTCTGGTCATTCCATTTTCTATAGATGCTTTGGAGCGTTCCATAAAAATGGTTCCAGCGATGGGATCTTGAGAAGGGTCGATGTCGCCATCATCAGGCTCTCTCTCGCTGATGTGCTGAATATTATTGGAGCTTACTTCACCTTCCGGAAGATAGTCTTCTAGCTTGACGATGTCCTTTCTGATCGGTGACGGACTGCGGTAACAACAGCAACTGTTTTGGTTACCCATTTTGTATCACATATAACTGTATTAAAGATTAATTGTTATCATTCTACAAGCACTGCCTCACCTCTAGACATGCGTAAATAGTGTGCCGATACATAAGAATGACATAAAAGGTCCATAGTATCTGAAACAAAAGGTGCTACATGAATATTCTATTAGCAATTATCAACATTACCATTCAATAAAAATAGATTTCTAAGGACAGTGTAATATATCATTGTCGTACCCTAACATCTTCGGTTCATTAGATTATCACACATTTCACTAGAACTAGGAGCAACCCCGAGAAGATTTCATACTTTTGACAGTAGAGAATGCACAGACAGAACCACAGAGCAATAAAACCTAAAATGCATTGCATATCAGTAAAAAGCAGGTCAACCTTGATTAACCATAATCAAAAATGATTTATTAAATTTCATTTTATAAATAAAATGTGATACGGTTTTACTGAACAAAGAAACAAAAAAACTATGTATATTTTATAAAATGAATAACACTGCAAACGATGCATCACATGATTATTAATTTAATGAGGCAAGCAACAATTACATTTTTAAGATCAGAGTAGATCATATTCATCTATGATAAACTTTTAGTAACTGTAATTTTAAATATCAAGGAAATAAACACGTATTTCATATTATGTATTTTTTATAAGCAGCTTCAGTTAATTTCAATGGGAAATATTTTTAATTTGGAATAATCTAATTTTTGGAGACTTTTGTTTGATTATTTTTGTTTTTTTCAGTTTGATTATTTCATATAACATTTAATTCTTTTACTTCGATTATTTCGGTATTTAGGTGTTATCGAGAATTTCAGTGCAATTTTTACTTATAGCAACCAAAGAGTATATTAATAAGCGAATGTATAGCAACACTAAACCTAGAAAATATGGCGGGCGGCCATTATTTCGCTTCTGTTACTTCGGAGAGCACGCTGAAAAGTGTTTTGACGACAGTTCTGTTATAAATTATTTAATTACCGGTATAAATACGTTAGACTGTGTGAATAATTGTTGGATCACAGAGAATTTTACTTATTGCTTGTGTTTTTGTGCACATTTTAGGCTACAATGCGTCGTAAAAGTGAGCGTACCGCAAGTAAAAAAGGGAAGGCTTCCCCAGAAAAGAAAATTGAAAAAGTTAAACGTACAAGAACCAGCAGACGTAGAAAGCAATCTTCGTCTTCAGAAAACGAATCTGCTGATGATGGAAGCCCAGTGAGAGAAGTTGAGAGCGTCAGTGAAGCTGAAAAGAAGCCTCCATCAACACCCGCTAAAGAGGATAGCCCTGAAGAGGCTCAAGATCAGGTATGGCGTGTTAAAACTACTGAGGCCTCTGGTGATATAAAAAAGTTAAAAATTTGTTTAACGCGTCCACCATCCACACCTGAAAGAGTCGATAGATCTCCTCGCAGTAAAAGAAAACATTCACGAGCGACAAGCTCCAGTGATACACCCAGCGTGGAGGGCGTTGAAGAAAAAAAGAAGTCGAAACATCGTTCTAAACGTGCTCTTCGAGGTTCAAAGGATGATATAGATAAAAATAATGATAGTCAGGGAGATGAGCCTGATCAGGAATCTGGACAGCAAGATCAAGATAAATCTTGTGATGAGGTAACTCAAAGTGAAACTATTGAAGATGTTGAAACACCAGTGTCCACAACTAATGAAGAAATGAAGGTGGATGAAGCAAAAAACTTGTCCCAAAGCAGTGAAGATAAACTTGAAAATAGAGAAAATACCACAAGTGAGCAAGAGGACACAGAAAAAGCTTCTGATGCTGATACAACTGTTGTTTCACCCAAAAATGAAACAAGAGTTGCATCACCATCAGTTGAAGTAAATCCTGAACCTAATTCAGACAACCAAGAAGAGCAACCATCTAATAGTACTGAAGACAAGAGACAAGAGGATACCAATTTAGTTGAGAAAGAAAGCCCTAGAAGGACAAGAAGTGAGTCAGTTGACAAATCAGAGGTCCTAGAATTACATGCAGATGATAGTAAGTGCGAATCTTCTGATAATGAGGCAAGCCAGTCGAAAACTGAATTCGAACACGGAACAAACAAGAAGGATGAAATTGAAAAAGATAAAGAAAATGTGATCCAAGAGGAACAGAAACCTATTGAATCCCAAGAAGAGATACCTATTGTACCTGAAAATGAAGAGAAACCTATGCCCGAAAATAACGAGAAACCTATGATGCCCGAAAATGAAGAGAGACCTACTACGCCCAAAAATGAAGAGATACCATCCGTGTCCCAAGATGAGGAGAAACCAGCATCTGAAGACCCAAAGGTAAGTATAGTAAATGAAGAAAATATTAGTAAAGAAACTGAGAAAGTTGAGTCTGATAGCAAAGAAGCTATTAATGAAACTGATGTTGTAGAGAGTTCTGAGAAGGTAAATAAAGAAAAACAAGAAAAGACTATAGCAAATGATACAGCAATTCAACCTATGGAGATGGAGACAGCTAAAGTTGAACCTGAACAAACACCACACCAGCCCAAAGAGTTGCAGCGCTCAGATTCTGTGAAGTCTACAAAAGACGAACCTGTTGCCAATGGTCAATCTGCTCCAGCTGTAGTGGGCAGGAAGAGAAGATGGGGATCAAGGAGTTCTAAACTCACAACCCAGAAATCAATAACAATTTCAACTGATGTATTGAGAGACATTATACCTGATGTGAAACCCGTTGAGTTTGATGAAGTTATAGAAGAGAAGAAACACAGAAGAATAGAGACTCAGGAAAGAATTGAACGACCAGTTCTTCCAAAAATAATTATTGACAATACTGACAATGTGGAATTGAAAAAGGAATCTGAGGAAGAACAAGATCCTCACACTCCAAAGCCAAGAGATTTAGCTTCCAGTAGAAAAATATCAATAATTAAGGATAGTGATAGTATAATAGCAAGACCACCGAGCCCACCCAGAAATAAACAGTCATGTATTTTGTATATTACAAATTTGGTGAGGCCATTTACACTACCACAGTTGAAGAATTTGCTGCAAAGGACAGGAAGAATTGTAGAAAATGGATTTTGGATAGATAGAATTAAATCAAAATGCTTTGTGGAATATGAAACTGAAGAGTAAGTACCTATATATTTTATTATTTATAGGGAGCTATATTTACATGTTGTATTTTACTATTTGAACAGAAATTGTACTTAATACTTATAATAAGTTTTAATTTGAAGAATCTTTTGCAATAACTTATAGAAATAAATTTATTATTTTCCAGCCAAGCTGTGGAGACAAGGCATGCCTTGCATGGTGTTACTTGGCCGGTTTCAAATCCAAAGACGCTTCAAGTGGACTTTTCCACACAAGAAGCCTTTGAGAAAGCTAAATCTAATGAAGATACTGATGCTACACCAGTGTCAACAATTCCTGGAACAGTTGAGGATTGGCTTCGGGAGCAAGACATGAAGAGAGATCGAGGGGATTTGGTAAGATAGACGTTACATCTTGATTAACCTATAAATATGAATCTTATATTATCATCATCAGCCTTTTATAATGGTCCCAATGTTGAGCAGACTACTTTCCAAGAATAAGAAATGAACATTAATTACATCTAAATGTGGTCATTGCTTGGTCAATGTTGCATGGTGATTATTCCAGCAAAGCATGGTGATTTTATCAACAATTGGTCAACAACTAATAACTGATTGCTATAAAATGTCTTTATCCATTTCAAAGCCAAATTCTTAGAATAATTACTATTGATCATGATGATAGATACATGATGGTTTTTGGAAATGTATGTAAAATTATGGGAAAATATTTCTATGCATAGAGAAAATCCCACATAAAAGATATCTAACTAGCATAATAAAATAATGTCTGTTAATGATAATAATTATGTTAATGGTTTATGATCATTATTATAATTTTAAGTCTCATTTCTTAATTAACTTATTTTGTAATACATTGATTTTCAGGACAAACCATGGGAAAGGAAAGCAGCTACTCGAGAATGGGATCTGGGAAAGAATGAAAAAGACAAAGATAATAAAGATAATAAGTCAAAGCGTGAAGAAAGGCCGGCTGATAAGAGAAGACATCGCTCCCCAGAGAAAAGCCCTGAGCCTGGTAATTATGAACTTTCTAAATATAAAAACTTTAATTCTATTTAAACACTGTTGTTTATAGGCGCAACATAATAAGGCCTATAGTTCTAACCATGTAAAACTATGGACTTATGCTCTGTAGCCTGTAGCTCCTTAGTAATGAATATCATTACTAAAAATGCCATTATAATAATATATGTAAATAATATTGTAGTTAAAAACATATTTCAATCTACAATCTATAATTGTAGTAACTTAATTATGCACTTGTCAATCAGGTTAAAATTAGTCATGGTAAATTAAATTGATTAATCTGACAATGTAATGGTATGTTGAATTTGCAACCATATCTAATTGGAATCACTTAGGATTTATACATGCATATTTAAAATAGGAACTGAGTGCATGGTTGGTGCGGTGGCTGGGCAATCGGCTGCCGCTCAACATGTGGTGCTTATGATTCCCACACGGAGCAACTCTTTGTGATCCTCAAATTGTTGTTTCGGGTCTGGGTACCATGTGTATATGAACTTGAATGTTTGTAAACGCACTTTCGACATGAAAGAAAATCCTAGTGTGTGCCAACGTATTTTCCACAAAAAAAGCAACTGCTTTTATATTGTATGAAAATACATAACCTCACGCCTGTCTCTCACAGAGGTAGACTATGGAACGCCAATTGCTATAATACTTACATAACTGCATTGTATAACTGTTATACAAATACACAAGCCTTAAATAGTTACACTATAATACAATGGAATCACCCCTTATAATTGATTTAGTACTTCTGTAACTTAAGTACAAACGGCTACGAATCAAGCAATGCGAAATCAGTATAAGTTGATCGTTGAATGTGGGAAAAGCAGGATCATGATATACCGGTTATGTAGACTTCAATGTGTAGTCGTGTGTACATGTTTTTTGGTAGTTAACGCATTAACCCGTCGAGTACCGTCATTATAGACATAATTATAGAACAATAGGTTGCGGTCACCGGTGACCGCTTGGTGTTTGACAGTTTAAATGCTATGGGTGTCACCGGTGACCGACATTAGCTGAGGATTTGTCTTCAACATTTTTTTATTGGCAGTCTGCATGTCTATGGTTTTATAAGGTTATGTGACTGACTTAATTATTATTTTTATATTACAGCAAGGAAATTCAAGAAGAAAGAAGAAGAAGCACCCGCTAAGCTGTTGGATGACCTATTTAGAAAGACTAAAACAACTCCATGCATATACTGGTTGCCGCTCTCAGCTGAAACGGTAAATTAAAGTAAAAACCATTTTTACCAAAATTATCTTATTTATTTTGGCTTTTAAAATACCACTATTAGTTTTATTACGTTATCATGTTCATGCATGTCTATCTAAAACAATAAGTCGAATAAAACACTTATTTGGTGTCATATGAAATTAACAACCCTAGGGAGGAAATTTTATTGTAATTCTTAATATTTTTTTGTGCATATTACTAATTGGTTAATATGTTTTACGCAGATAGCAATAAAGGAAGAACAGCGGCGCCAGCACATGGCGGAGCACGAACGAAGGCTACAGGAGCTGCGCCGAACGCACCGCCGTCACTAGCATGGTCCGTCTCATACACCCGCTCCATCATTACATCTTACACACTCGCACCATTATGTGACCTACATGCACATTACACATGAATGCGTACCCACGTGTACTGCCACTTATACATACACTTACACATACATACACATAACACTCATACATCACACACTCACACACAATTTCATAACTCATACTCACCATTCTAATATTTTTGTCGAAAAGTCGACATTCCTTTTCAGGCAGTATACTGTCTTCAGTGACAGTAATTTAATTTTATGTTTATTTGAAGAATAATTTTGTTATATGATAGTCATATTACAATTTAGGTTTAAGGGCGACATATTCAAGATAATCTTGGCAGGATTTCTGGGACGTGTACACTATGAATTGATTTTATACAAAATGTTATAGAAAGGCACGCTTGGAGGAAAGCCTATGATTTAATTCGTCGTCGGCGTAATGCAGTCACTTGATCAAAACGAGCAGGGGACGTCCGCTGTGGGAAACAGATGCACTACGATTGACATCATTCCACTTGACATTGCGTCGATGTGCGCCTTTCGGCTAAGAATTGTACCGCTGGCCGATTGGTGGGTACTTGCGAAATTATCTGTATGTTGACAACGTCACTACAATCAACGGAATCAACAAAACAGACTCTTGCAGTCAAAATTTGCTGTAGTCTGACAGATGGAGCAATCGAGACCAATTTGATTATTTGGTGAAAGTATCACGATTTTGAGTGAGAGAGCAGAGAACAGGAGTAATGAATTTAAATAAATAACAGAGGATCAGCTGATACATACGCAAACATTGAAGGAAATGAAATAAATATATGTGAATTATGTTGAAACAACTGATTTGGAAGTGTAGCCAGCGCCATCATCTGATAGATAGACAAGTAGCGCAAATTAATTTTGCGAGGTAGTCAGGTTATCGTCGTAATATTGATATGTTTTGTCTGAAGTATATTCGGTTCATTTGATGTTGAATAAAAGTTTCTCTATTAATTTTCTAGTTTTATTTAAATACTTATTACTACATTATTACCCTAATCTTTCCCTGTGTATTCTAGGTTTTTAAAATTGGACACCATAGAAATATAAATCTATTGGTTCACCATTAGAGCGTTTGTCGAGTTAAGTCTGGGTTCGATTCCCGAGTGCGGCAAATTATTATTGGGCAATGTCAAAAATTCTTAATAATGTCTAAATCATAGAGTAAGTTAATATATCGGTTAAATTAATAATTATTAATTTTCTGGTCCAAATTATAAAAACTTTACCGCCAAACTTAAGTTGAAGTAAAGAAAAGTAATTGTTATTTCATAACGGACGAGTTATTGTTCATGTATCGTTATTTTATGCCTCGACAATAATATACAGTCATAAGGTGAATAGAAAGATATCGGTTCTCAAAGATTATAACAAGATCTAATTTGATTAGCTTATCTGTACGTAATGCTCCCATACCTACATATTTTACAATAAATACCAAGTAGGTATTAATAATTTAAAATTATAAGCAAGCTAATCGACCTATTAAAACAATATCTTACAATTTCTGCCCGTAATCTCGCCTATCAGCAGATACTTTATCAAGAGGATAAGAATTATAATTTCAAATGATAATCTTGAGACAGTTGTGTTGGCGATTACAAACGCCAACCACTAAATTCAGGAGGAGCTGAATCCGTAATGGTAAGTTGATTCTTTTTAACGTCCTTGGTTTATAGGTAACTTAATACCTAGTGGGTGCATTTTTTCTTAAAACTAAATATTAGAAGCATCCTCAATCGACAAGCATTCGACGAGATTGATTAATTAATTTAGATGATGTGAAAGAAGTATCAGAATCATGTCATTAGGCTAATCCCAATCGGAGACAGACGACGATATGCATGAACAGTGGGCAGCAGGTGAACCTACTCTTCTGTTTTCTGTATTTATTAGATTTTCAACTCTATAGTCTATACATATGAAAGTGAAAACTACATTGGATATTTTTTGAAAGAATGCTTGGGGCTTGATATCAAGCTAGTAGATACTAGTGATACCGAAGCTAAAAATATGGTTTTGGGAATTTTTGTTTGTTTGTATGTAGGTATGTCCGGGCTAAACTTAAAAAGTACTACATGTATTTACGTCAAATTTTGCATGAATATTACTAACAGGTTGGGTCAACATATAGGCCACATATTATCACGCTATCACCTACGGGAGAGGAGCTGCGAATCACTATTCCATGCGGACGAAGTCGTGGGCACATCTAGTTTAAATAAAGTCGAAAATCCGATGACAAAAAATGACACTTTAAAGTAGGTTGATGACTTGATGTGCTGGTCACTGTACCTATGTGATTAAAACTCCATCAATTAGAAATAAGCCCACTTTGAATCTATGATATTTTGTTCATGTAGGTATTGATATCTATGATATTTTGTTCATATGAAACACTTTGATATTAATCGTTTCTGTACTGTAGTACTGAAACGTACTTTGTCTGGTTTTATTCTGTGTGGTGAAATAGTCATCTACTAAGAACCTTATAGAAACATGAGATCAGAAAAACCGAAATATCATACCTACCGGAATCCGGACCTCTTCTAGGTTTTAAAATATCAAACCATTTATCGTTTACCTACCTAATTAATCTATAGATATATAATATAATAATAATAATTATTGCGTAGGTACCAACGTCTGAAAATGAATTTTCTTCCAGATTTTAGAACGAACAAATAATAAACCATACTTAATACTTATACCTACCTAAATGAAATCCCCAATTTCAAAAAGGTCTGCTTCGCACCTACTTATAACTCTGGTGGTGCGGGTGTTTATGGACGGCGATGAATGCTTACCATCAGATGATCTGTCTGCTCGTTTGCAGCCCTTATCGCATAAATAAAAATAACTACAATTTTTCCCTACTAATGCCTTACGTCCATACGCCTGTTTGTAACAAGGCTATATTCTTTGAACCGTGATAGTCAAACAGTTGAAATATTCATAGATTAAATACAGCAGTTACGACTAAATAAAACCAATAAACTCTGTACATTTTAAAGGGCGTCCATCGTCCATAGTCATACAACGTGACTATGCATTTTTATACATAGATACCTAAAGTTTCATGCGACTTGCACTTGGCGGCATTTTTTATATGTTTAAAATGTCCAAAAGTGATTTTGGGCCGACCCAAAAATCGTTGTTCTTTATTGGGCTTTTTGGAGCAATAAATACTTCTGACTTTATTTTCTAAAAGGCGCGGTTGATGTGGTACGTGCTGGCGGCGGTAGTGGCGTGTGCCACAGCACAACAGAACTTCACCCTTGAAGAGTTTGTGACGGGGCAGTTCGCTCAAACAGGATTTACCGGCCGATGGATTTCAGGTACCTACTTTTTATTAAGAGCAGAAATTAATCCAATTACTCCTTGTATCTTGGGTGAAGTGAGAGGGATTGGCAGACTCTCACTGGCTAAAAACCACTGCATTCCTACTCCTGCTTATATTTTCTTATAGGTAACCTCACAGTCCTCACGAATTGTGTTAATGGTACACCATTAACTTACTATAGGTAGGTACATAGTGAGTTTAAAGAGTTAGATAGGTGTGTGTGTGTGTGTGTGTGTGTGTGTGCGTGCGTGCGTGCGTGCGTGCGTGTGTGTGTGTGTGTGTGTGTGTGTGTGTGGGGGCTACTTAGATGTTTAATTTTATTCCCTGTCATCATCCCTATTATATATCTTTTGTTTTCAGATACTCGGTTCACATACACGTTGGCACAACAGCCCACAATCTTTCAATATGATTGCACTACAGATACGAGCTCAGAACTCGTTTCAGGAAGTCTTATGGTAAGTTGTCTGAACCAGGTCCGGCTTTTGAACTTATGGGGTCCTGCTATCTAAAACACTGTATTGTGGGCGCACTTCATTTATTTAATTTTGATAAATTTCATTTAAGTTACCTTCGAGAAACTATCATCATCGACAGCCGGAAAACGTCCACTGCATCCACATGCAGAGAAACTATACTATAGTTTAATCAATTTGTTGAATTTTGACGCATTTTCATTTTATATTGATACAATCACGGGCCTAGTTTCTTTTTAGTGTTGAGGTGAAGTGGCGAGTGGTGACTCCTCGTTGTATATTCTATGTAAATCTCCAAAAGTTCTTAAATTAATGTTTATTGATTGGTATATATTTAATCTAATTACCTATACCTAGGTATTAATATATTTGCATATGTATCGCACTTAAGTTCCTAAATTGATATAATAATCTTGACCACTTCAGGAACAACTGGAAACCGACAATCCTATCCTGTCACCTGACGAGAATTATATTTTAGCTTCGCAGGGAGTTCAGCGGGTAAGTTTGGCAACATTATTATTTTCGATAGGCATTATTAACATTAATACTCCGTACCAGTCGACCTGGACTATAAGCCTCCATTGCGTAAGAGGTTCATCACATTAATAGGTATATTCATGCTTGATAGGCAAGCTGGAGAACACAGCTTACAGACCAAGTTCAGCTTCATCAAAGAACGCTGCGGACATAACGTCTGTTAAATGTGCAGTCCCTTAATCAGGGGGCTTACTCTTGAATCCAATTCCGATTGATCGATATTGGTATTGTGAAATTTCGTACTCTTGAGTCGCAACACTAGCGACCATTGCATCCGTATCGCGTGGATATTTAATGAACTAAATGATATTGAGTTTGGCTTTATATTCTGTACTCTGAATGCTATCTTAACAGCTAAGAAAGGGGTTGTATAGTTTTGACATTGAACAATTATTGATATTTTATTGGGTTGAAATTGCATTAACATTGAGATTGGTTTCAAGAGTAAGCATCATATCATGGTCTTACGACACGAGAAGGGTAGTGAGATATACAAACGTATTCTACCCTGCTGTCACCACATGGCCGGTTTATTATATCATTATGTCAAATTTACATATTTAACTTAATAATACAAGTACACAATACATTACTATATATCATTTAGATAAGTATCTGCTATATTGCGTGTGCATTCTTCAAGTTCATAACAATAAATTAGATTAACCACTTATCTTTACTGTCCGAATGTATAACTATACTGATAAACATAATTATCTATAGATAGTGAAATCGTAATCTTCCCAAATACCTACTTACTTTAATTAAGAATGTCGGTATATAGGTATTAATTAAATATTAATGGTATTGGTTGCCTCATTAGTGCGACTGCCGGGCAAGGGGCCGAACCCGAGAGGGTTCGATTCCCAGGTCAGGCAAAGTATTATTGAGTTTTTAAAAAATCTAAGTAGTAGCACGGAGTCTGGAAATATGCCCGGTATATGGCAATAGGCTCACCACATAAATAGTGAAAAGTGGGTGTTACATTGTACAGTGGCAAATGTAAACCTCTGCCAGTCCTTCGGGGATAACAAGGTAATGTAATGTATCACCCACTTTTCATTATTTAATATGTTATGAGTTGCATGTAATAGGGGGTGAGCCTATTGCCATATACGGGGCACAATTCCAGACTGCGTGCTACTACTGAGATTATTTAAAAACCTAGTATTGCTTTGCCCGATTTGGGAATTGAACCCGAGACCCCTTGCAGGCAGTCTATGGAGTTTTTGTATAGCTTAAAGTCTTATGAATTGTAGTTGAATTTCAGTACCTAATCACCCACTATGATTTCAGTAATCACCCACTATGATTTCAGTAATCACCCACTATGATTTCAGTAATCACCCACTATGATTTCGGGATGTTTTGTGTTGTATTTTGGATTGTACAGTCGGGTTACAAAAGTCCATAAGACGACTAAAGATCACATTGCTATGAACTACCACAATAACACACACTAATAAACTGTCGTCGCGCTCACTACGCGAAAGAACATAAATAAATGCATAAAACATTCGTCCCTCACGCACACATTGGTATTCAATATTACCTATCTTAGTGACGGTATACGTATATTCAACTGTCAAATACCAAGCGGTCACCGGTGACCGCAACCTATTGTTCTATAATTGTGTCTACAAAACCGGTACTCGACGAGTTAATTCAGTTAATAAGTGTAAATAAAAATAAGGGGTAAAGATAAAAATAATATGTAACAAACATTTAATAAATCGAATAATGAAATAATGAATGATCGAGCAACATACTACCTACATAATCATACCGATACTCAATAAATACAATATAGTTTTGAATGACATCAAATATTTCAGTAGCCTTTGTAGAAGCAAGATTGGCGTAAAGGTTATCGCATGAGATTAAAGGCTACAGATCGCAGGCTTGATCCCGGCATAGACACTGTTGTTTTTGAGTTTATTAAATATTTTTTAAACATTATTTAATACAAAATTTCTATTTTTTCAATACCTGAGTATAAAGTTTACAATGTTCGAGGTAACTACGAAACTCTCGAACAACAATTTTATTTCATCCGTTTATGAAGTAGGTACCTATAGACAAAATAAAATAAACCTTATTTATACAGAGATAACATTCATAATTGTTAATCAATGTGAACAAAAACTTAAGTAATATTTGATTAATAATGTTATCACTACTAGATATATACGGTGAAGTGATGTTATTTTTAAGCTGATAGAAATTTTTAAAATTTCTTTCCATTTAAGATGTTGATTCACTTCACTATTCACTTTGGTCTAATTAAATTTAGCTAAATAGTTATAGGTTATGAAGGTTAAACTTTTCTGTATTAAATCATTGCATCCTTTTCAATCAATCAATCTTTTCAATTTGTATACCTACTATTGTTTACATGTTTGCTTATTTATTGGATATGAAACGACTTCTTTGTAAATAGATAATAATACTGTTTTATTTACAAACTTGTTTACCTACTTCTTCTTCTTGTAGTCTGATTTTATTTTACAGAAAACAAAGGACATACAAACTTAGGGATAGGTGTGAGTTCGAATCTAAGGTTAGGCTTTATATAATATAATTAGTAAGTATATAAGCATCAGTATATACCTAAAGTGTAAAAGATACATATATTTTATTTATTTTATATTTTACATATAACGATTACCTAGGTACTTGTAAATTTTAGTAGGTAATTTTTTTTTACTAAATTGCTTTGAACAAACAGACATTACAATAAATGTATTATAAATGTAATATATTGTTAAATGATAACAAATTAAACAAATTTTGAACTTAAGGTAAAATTGTAATATATTTTACATAAAAGAAATCATTTACACTCATGTTATTATAATAAAAATGAATTTTAGTTTACATAATTCTAGACATAATGAAAGATCTGAGGTTAAAGCTTAATTATTCATTTTCTCAATGAAAAGAGGATTGAAACTTAACCTCAGTCTAAATACTAATATAAATACTAATTTGTTAAAGTTACAGCCGCTATGTCCCCCGACATAGAATTATCTACCCAACCTCTTGAGCATTTTTTTAATATTTGTTACTTCTAAAGGGCTTAAGTCAGGGAACCAAGCTGGCCAAGAAATAATTTTTATTTCAAGATGATTGCTAAACCATACACGAACAATACCGGCACAGTAAATGGGACAGTTGTCTTGCACAAAACTTATCTCGCTTACGCAGGGTAGACATATTTGTAGGCAAGATACTAGTAACATCGTTCAACACTTCCACATAGTTAACACTGTTGGCTCACGTTGAAATAAAACTTAATTCATCAGGCCCTTGAGCACATATCCACCCCCACATATTCACTCTTCTCAAAGTCCAAATATTCCCAGGAAAACGTAACCTCTCCTCTTTATGCCGTTGCGGGACAAACGATTTTTTAGCTGGCGTTCGGAGACTGCGGCGAACGGTGCGTGCTGATGTTCTCTCACTCAACTCATCAACAAAACGCCTTGTTGGGATGAAACCATTCGTCTCATATTCAACCATAGTCTCTCACTAAAAAAAACATAAAAATATTACACACTTATAACAAGCAAATTATCTTTATTATTTTGCAGGTCATCATCACACAAAGTTAAAAACTTACTTACGCATAAGCTGGTTTCATTCGATATTTAAGATATATTACGACCATCCGAATATACGGCCACAATATTTGCCTTGGTTTCAATACTAATATTAACCTGCATAATTAATACAAAAGAATAAAATCACAACAACAAGATAACACTAACACTGGTAGCTATGTTCACCAATCAATACCAGCAAATACCGGAATAATGTACCTCTATGTGACTAGTAAATTAGTTAAAATATGAGGGTGGATTTAAAGCGAATTTGTCACTTTGTTTCAAATCTACTCATATTTTGATAACGATGCTAAGATTAAAAATATAAAAGGTCATAAGCGCCATTAATATTGCTATGCAAAAGTGTTTTGACATTTCCTATGCACTTTTGGTTCTTACCGTACCTAAATGACTTTTTTTCAGGTGTACCGGCATTCTACAACTGCTAGATATGCGCTTTTTAACGTTCAGAGTGGGTTCGTATTTTATGTACCTACCTATATTTAAGAATTACTATAAAACGTACTACTTAGTATACCCATCTATCAATTGAGCGGCATGAGTAAGTTCCTAACTGGTCAGGGCCGTAATACGAATTTAAGAGCCCCAGGCCCCTGGGCTGCAGACAGTCTTTCTGCTTTAACCAAACTTCTGTGGAGGAAGGGGTGTCAGTCTCGTTACCTCGTTCGTCGAGTGGTTACATAATATTGTCCAATATCGTGTTGGTACCTTAGGGGTCTGGGGTTGGATTTCACTATCCAGCAAAATATTATTGTTTACTTTCGAATATTTTACAGTAATAATAATGGGACCTGTAAATAATTCAAAGTCAAAGTCAAAGACAAAATCATTTATTTCAATTAGATAAGGTTGGCACTTTTGAACGTCAAACAACAAAAATTTAGAAGTGAAGCTAGTTGCTCATTCCAAGGTGTAGATTCCTATGGAGAAGAACGAGCAAGAAACTCCATAGGTTACTCTTTTTCAATCAGGTTTACAATACAATTCTCTAGTTACATACTTTTATTGGTTCGATTGTGTGAGAACAATGCAACACCTAAATCCAGTCAAAGAGATTGCAGTCATTCTATCGATGGGTCTTCATTTTATTTATAGAAGTTTCACTTAAGAGTACTTTACGGTGGAGGTGGGTCTGGTTATGTGGGACCCGTAGCTATATTTGTAATCCGGCCCTTGATTTTTATGGTACATACTTTCGATTACAGACGAACGATTCAGGTGGGCAATAATCAGCGCCTGCAGCTTTGTATCTTCGGTGGCAATCAGCACGCCCTGGCCTACGTGTACGCCAACAATCTGTACTATTTACCCAACAGCAACGCACAGCCCATTGCTATTACCAACGACGGAATAGAGGGTGTTGTCTACAATGGACATACCGACTGGGTGTACGAAGGTATGATAGTAAAACATTTAGTACTGCCACCGGATCCGCCCGCGTTACCTTAGGATAAAAAGACCATGTGTTATTCGGTACCATAATCTACCCCTGTTCCAAATTCTGTCCCGATCTCTGCAGCAGTTTTGTTTGACATGATTAATTAAGCATTTGACTGCCGACAGAAAACTGTTGAAGGTAAATCCTCCGCTAACGTAGGTCACCGGTGACATACGTTGCGGTTTTTTTTAAGGGGGGAAATTCATCGAATGTCTGCTCCCGCCTGGTTGAGGCGGGACGGAGTGTCAGACTCTTACTGCGGTACGTTGCGGTTAACGTATTAAGAATGATACATACAAACTCACAGATTTTCGAATTTATATTTTTAATAAGGTAATGTCTGTGTTTATTGCAGAGGATGTCATGTACACCGGTCAGGCGACTTGGTTTTCCACCGCCGGTTCCTACCTGGCATTTGCGACATTCGACGACAGTAATGTGGAGGACTACTCTTACTATTACTATACCGATAGTGACAACAATGGCACAGAGTTCCTTTACCCAAAACTCTTCGACCTCAGGTACCCCAAGGTAATTTTAGAAAATTATAGCTACTCAATTAGTCGCGCAGTTTTACCTGCTGCTTGACTTCTATTTTGTTTTGTTTGAATGAAAAAATAATGCAAGTTCTTTTCTTAGTCACAAATAGTCCGCATACCAATTTTTAGCTTTCTACCTTGAAAGTTATAATAATAAAAATAATTGGTGGGGGGTTCAAAAGAGATAAAAAGTATCCTATGTCACACCATCCCTTTAACCATCCGAACTTAAAAATCACGTCACTTCGTCATTCTGTTTTGCCGGGAAAGACGGACAAATACACAGACACACATTTTTACATTTATAATATTAGTGTATCCACACTATTAATTTTAAATTATTAATTTTCTAAATCTGACTGCCTCGTTGGCCGAGTGGTCGCAAGTGCGACTGCCGGTCAAGGGGTCTCGGGTTCGATTCCCGGGTCGGGCAAAGTACTACTGGGTTTTTATAAATTCTCAGTAGTAGCACAAAGTCTGGAATTGTGCCCGGTATATGGCAATAGGCTCACCCCCTATTACATGGAACTCGTAACACAAATAGTGAAAAGTAGGTGTTACATTGTACAGTGGCACAATGTATACCTCTGCCTACCCCTTCGGGGATAAAAGGCGTGATGTTATGTTATGTTATGTTATGTAATTTTCTAAATTAAATAAGAGTAAATGTATCTCCCTATTAAATTACATTAATACTGCGTCGTTGGTTGGTAGTGGTTTCGAGTCAATCTGCCTAGCCAAGATGTCTTAAATTCGATTCTCAGGTCGGGAGCTATATTATTAGGGATTTTAACGATATTTTCTGGGCCAGTAAATGAGCCTCACGCAACCAGATCATCCCCTTTCTTCGCACTCCATAATAGACCTCATTTGCGATGTTTAGAGACTACTTTTGTATGAACAAGTTTGGTTTTAATTTAAACATTTAAATATTAATAGATAATAATAATATTTATTTACAGGTGGGCCATGAGAATCCTACAGTGAAACTTCGCGTGGTGAACTTAGCCCAGTTAGTGGCTAACCCTACCAACCCTAGTTTCATCATTATGAATGCTCCGGCGGCCGTGTCTACCGACCATATACTGGGCGGCGTCACTTGGATCACAGACAATGAGATCGCTATGCATTGGATGAACAGGCGACAAAACTATTCTGTACTACAGATCTGCAACATCGTCTCCGGGAATTGTGAGGTACGATTAACTATTAAACAATAGGGATGATGAGGGATTGAAAATTAAAAATCTTATTAGTCCGTGAGTTAGGTAATGAAAAAAATATTAGACACGTATTTTTTATTTTGTCGTATAAGAAAATGATACTTAAATATAACGAATCAAAGTTTAGGAGTGGGGGCTAAAACGTCATTTCTACGTATAAAATGTAGGTACATAGAAGTGACGTCACGCGACATTTCAAATAAATATATCGTCAAAAGTATTCGTTTCTATAAAAAAATAAAATAAAAGTGTCTAATGTTTTAAAATAATCAACCAGACAGACATTAAAATAAAAATTTAGCCATCTACCCTATTGTACTCGTTTTAATTTGGGACCAACTGTTGCCCGCGACTTCGTCCGCGTAGAATATGAGTTTTTGGACATTACGTTTTCTTTTTGTTTCAATATTCCAAAATAAAAAAGCATATATACGGTCGAATTGAGAACCTCCTCCTTTTTTGAAGTAGGTTAAGAATAGCCTATGTTACTCTTTAGAACATCAGATACCTGCCAGTAAAATTCCCGTCAAAATCGGTCCAGCCATTTCAGAGATTAGCCAGTACAAACAGACAGACAGACAGATAGACAGACAAAATGAAAAAAAAAAATGTTTTGGTATAGGTATCGTATTCGCATGTTGTAAAAAGCGTTTATTTTAGGTAATATTACAAACAGACATTCCTATTTTATTTACCTACCTGTATAGAACAATGCTGTGACTTGTTTTTCTAGAGCTGTATAAAATTGATTGAGTTATCGAAACCTAAACGATAAACGATAAACTTCACATACAACATTATACCTCTACTTACCTAAGTCCAATTTCTATCTGGTTTAATTAAATAGCAAAAATCAGAGTCATTACCCTTCCCAAATAAACGTGGTAAGTACCAATTATAATCATCATTAATCACCAGTAGCCGAAAGATGTCCATTAGTGAACAAAGGCCTCTCCCTTAGATCGCCTTGTCAAATGACAATGCACCATATAATACTTACGAAAATATTTTTTTATAGGAGGAGCATAGAGAGGAGCCGAAAGGTTGGATCCCGTTGGCATTGCCTCGGTTCAGCAAAGATGGATCTTTCTACGTATCGACGCGCTGGTCGCGCCCTCAGGCGGACGGCATGGTCTGGCAACATTTGTTCCTCAGCTTGAGGGTCGGCGGAAACATAATCTCCACCTCCATCTCCCCTGGAGCATCCACTATCAATAATTTCATCGGAATGGATGACGCACGTTTGGCTTTGTGAGTATTTACTGGAGGATTTAGTTATTAACTAAAAATCGCGGGTTAGTCACGTGAATATAATGAGAAAAGCTCTACTAGTTTCGAACCACAGAGGGGTCCTTCCTCATGAGCAGCGTGCGCGGTCGCGGCAATGTCGCGCAGCCTACTCGAGCTTACCTACTAGAGCTTTTCTCAGTATTTTCACGTGAGTAACCCGCGATTTTTAGTTAATTTAGTATGTGTCATGATAGTTATTATTACTAAGTGCACGTGTTTTTTTTCGTCTTTATGATACAATGGTTTTCGTTACAGTGTATCTCCCGCTTTGACCTGAATTATCAGTTATGTTGACTCAATTGTAATAGGTAATGCGTCTATGTACCGGATATATCTCGGGATGTCTATGTACCGGGAATAATTGCTGATTCCGTACCGGGAATAATTGCTGATTCCGTACCTACAGAGAAAAGTATACAAAAAAAATTTGTTCCATCCGGGGATCGAATCTTAGGCTCTATTTATTGATATGACACATAACTGTTATCATTTATAATAAAACTTTTCCGAACTCGTCAATCTGAGTCCGTATTTTTTTTAATGGTATAAGCCGGTAAGCGAGCAGACGGATCTCCTGATGGTAAGCAATTGACGTCGCCCATGGACACATGCAAACTTGCCGGCCTTTTGGGATTAGGCGTTTGAGGATCGTTGGGGATTCAGGGATTGAGGAAGGGGGGGGGGTGGCGTAATTGGGCCTCCGGTAACTTTACTCTCACGACGAAACACAACGCAAGCGTTTCACGTCGGTTTTCTGTGAGGCCGTGGTATCACTCCAGTCTAACTGGCTCATTCGTGCCGAAGCACGGCTTTCCCATACTTAATACCTTTATTTACCGAAATACTTAATACCCAGTTTAATTTAAATATGTTTGTTCCAGTTACTACACGCGCACGATGCCAAACATGCCGTGGCAGTCAGAAGTATGCGTAGCTGGAGCGGACGACCGATGCTTCAGTAAAGAACTGGTGCTGCCTGACGGGGGCCCGTGCACCTGGGCCACTGCCACCCTCAGCCAGGGAGGATCATACATGACCATCACCTGCTCTTCCCCTGAAGAACCTTCTGCCACTTACATTATTGATCTTTACGTACGTATCTTTTTTACTGGTACTGCCGCGTGGTTTCACCCGCTCTGCTCGGCTCCTATTGATCGCAGCGTGATGTTTTATAGCCTCTAGCCTTCCTCGAGAAATGTACTCTCCAACACAAAGATGATTTTTACCGGTTTTTGTTTTCGGGCCAGTAGTTCCTGAGTTTAGCGCGTTCAAACAAACTAACGAACTAACAAGCCAACAAACCAACAAACTAACGTTACTGTAAGCCTTTTGGGGAATGGGGAATAGAGATTCGGGGAGATTGGAGGTTCATTATAGTCTTTCTTATCATAAATGTACCTTTTATCCAATCTACACACCAACGCTGGTGACACTCCACTGGACTTTTTGCTTCGTCTACCTCTGAGGAGTTTTCCATGGACTCCATGCTTGAAAAGTGGGATCGTAGTTTAAAAGATGACTTTTTATAAAAAATAAAAAAAAAACGTTGCCCCACACTAGAATTTTCTCCTGTGTCGTGGGTGCGTTTATAAATATACAAGTTCACATACACAATATGACACCCAGACCCGTAACAACAATTTGTGGATCACACAAAGAGTTGCTCCGTGTGGAAATCGAATTCGCTACACGTTGCGCGGAGGCCGGTTGCCCAGTCACCGCGCCAACATTTTACACCCACGAGTAGAGTAGGGCTGATAACTAACTTATGTATTCTACTCTGCAATGACCACATGGCACACCGCCTGTCTGCGCGTACCTACTTAACAATATTTTTTAAAGAAATTGCATCTGAGTATTTGGCGTCATTATTGTATAAAGATTTGATTATAATGACGTCTTGCGCATACGCAGGTTATGCGTAACAGTAAATGACGGTTCACGGTTACGGTTCATTAATTTAGTTTAATAACCTTACTTACCTATGTGTTATTCGAAATTAAAATATTATGTAAAATCGATACAGTCCTTGCATAAAAGATTAATAAATATCCATTATAATGTCAGTAAGAATTATAATAATATAATTAAGGTTTGTTGGAGGCCCTATCCTCCCCCTCTCCCCTCCCCCAACTCCCAAATTAAATATCTTGAATCTTTTACCCCCAATAGTGTTGTAGTAATTGTCCATGGGCGGCACCGATTCCTCGCCATCATAATTGACGTCAGCTAGTTACCCATACCACATTAAAAAATAAAAATAGAACAGATACAGATGTAAATATAGACTGCCTTGTTGGCCGAGTGGTTGCAAGTGCGGGGTCTCGGGTTTGATTCCCGGGTTGAGCAAAGTACTACTTTAAAAAAAAATTACAGTGAGTGCACGGAGTCTGGAATTGTGCCCGGTATATGGCAATAGGCTTACCCCCTATTACATGAGACTCATAACATAAATAGTGAAAAGTGGGTGTTACATTATACAGTGGCATTAAGTGCCGTAACGTGCACCTCTGCCTACCCCTTGAGGATAACAGGAGTGATGTTATGTTATGTGTTATACACATCTATAATTATATCTGTGGGACTATTAAAAGTTTATGTTTTTAATACGTGTGTGTCATTTTCAGGACAGTGAAAAGGCTCCTGTACTTTGGGAGGCAAACGCCATCGTTCGCCAGCGTTTGGTGGGCAAGGCTAGATGGAGCAGCATCATCACGACTGTTCCTCTAGAGAACGGGTTCCCAGCCCCTGTCAGACTACTCCTGCCTCCTGGACTGGATGTCAACGACGCCACCACTAAATACCCCGTCGTATTCTACGTGTATTCCGGACCTAATACCAATACTGTGTTCAATACCTTCACTGTTGGTAAGTGTTGTTTCAGTTATCATCATTCATAAGGTTCTGTATCTATTTTATATAACTTTTATATTAGTATATATTTTTAAAATTTTCACGTATTCGGTTCTTGTCATTTTACTTTTCATAAATACTACTGTGCAGCCTGCCCCGTTGGCCGATTGGTCGCAATTGCGACTGCCGGGCAAGGTTCTCGGGTTCGATTCCCGCGTCGGGCAAAGAACTACTGGTTTTTTTAAATATTCTGAGTAGTTCCGACCACCGATTCCTCGCCATCATAATTGACGTCCGCTAGTTACCCATACCACATAAAAAAATAAAAATAGAACAGATACAGATGTAAATCTAGACTGCCTTGTTGGCCGAGTGGTCGCAAGTGCAGGGTCTCGGGTTTGATTCCCGGGTTGAGCAAAGTACTACTTTAAAAAAAATTACAGTGGGAGCACGGAGTCTGGAATTGTGCCCAGTATATGGCAATAGGCTCACCCCCTATTACTTAACATTGATAGTGAAAAGTGGGTGTTACATTGTACAGTGGTATAAAGTGCACCTCTGCCTACCCCTTCGAGGATAAAAGGCGTGATGTTATGGTATGTTATGTTTTCATAAATAGTCGCAATTTATATGATCTTATCTGCTACATTAACCACTAAGGTTTGTTTGTAACGTTGAACTAATTTACTGTTTAGGTTTTCAAGTCGAAATTCTAAATCAATTCATAATATAATATAACATCACGACTTTTATCCCCGAAGGGGTAGAGCAGAGGTGCATATTGTAGTGCGTGTTCACTATTTATGTTATAAGACCTATGTAATAGGGGGTGAGCCTATTGAATACCAGGCACAATCCCAGACTTCGTGCTATTATTGAGAAAACCTAGTAATACTTTGGCGGACCGGGGAATCGACCCCTAGCAGTCGCACTTGCGACCACTGGGCCAACGAGCAAGACATAACTGGTTAGAAATTTAATGACTGCATTGCACTGGTTGGTCTCGGGGCCTGGTAGCGGCGTAATGTGTCGCAGATATAGCTTTTGCACATGGAGCTATTTTTTATATTGTGATGGGTAATACACTCCTGACTAAGAGAAAAAATCATACTATTTAATGAATATAACATCATATTAAACGATACTTTATTTCCCAGGTTACCACGCGTACTTGACTACCAGTCGTAACATCATCTACATGTTGGCTGACGGCCGCGGCTCCGGTCTGAAGGGACAGGACATTTTGTTCTCACTCAACAATGCGCTCGGAACCGTCGAAGTGGAGGACCACTTTGTTATCCTCAGGTAAGACTTAGTAGTTTAGAAATATGTAGATATAACTAGCTTTTGTTCGCAGCTTTTACACGATGTAATCTTTATTATAGGTAACTATGCAACGGCTGGGTTGCACCAACTTACTTCAACAATAAATAACAAACATGCAAATTTTTGTTTAAGTATTGGTCAGATCAAAAATATGTTGCATCGATTGACAAATAGTTACATGACGTCATAACTTCAGCTATAACTGTAACTGTCCACTTTTCTCTGGTTAGTGTTAAAATTAGTGTCAAATATGCATCTGACAAATTGTTATTACGCGTTGAAGATAACCTCTGAAACTCTGAACCAGTTCTGAAGATGAAAGTAATTGTCTTGCTTGTATAAATTGAAAAAAAAAAGTATAGAGGCCGAGACCCAATGACATATCAAATTCTAATAGTAGAGGAGGTCACACTAGTTTCGAAAACTCATTTAGCTACCACTGAAAACTTTATAAGTAGTAGTTCTACCCTTTTTTAAGGATAATTTTGAGCAGTGAGCGTCAGCCGCAAGATTGGTTGAATAGATAAAGTATAACAGAGAAACAATAGTACAAAGTTACTTTCGTATTAATAATATTAGTTGGGTTTAGAATACAGAGTCCTTAAAGACTGGAGAGATCCGATAGTGAACCAAAGTTATCGACAGCGCCCAAAGGATTTTAGCAAGCAATTAATTGGCCATAGGCCAGTTATAGTTGATGCTAGCTAATGATTGCTGCGGTTAACATTTTCTGGAGTAGACTCTACACCTAGGTAGCCTGCCCTCAAGTTAGGTGGAATAATGGTATATTTTCTCGTGAAGTGAAGAAAAACCGACTTCAAAATGTATACCTGTAATTATGGTGGCCTTTTTATATGTAACCTTTCAAATAAAAGAAGTATTTTGAAAGGTTGTCCACAAACGGTGAACATACATACCTACATAAAAAAAGCAATCATTCGAACATAGAACCTCCTCCTTTTTTTGGAGTCGGTAAAAAGGCTAAATTGTAGCTCTGAGGAGAAGAAATTAAATCAAAATTTTAGACACTAAGCCAGTGTCTAAAATTTATAGGTACTAAAATTCTTATGTAATAAACGATAATATTTACATCAAAAAATCTAGTTGACACAGCGGTTTAACGTCCTCTAGTGACCCACTTGGATAAATTAATAAAAATCTAGACTCAATCAGAATTAATGTTCTTGTGTTTACGTAATGCGGAATTAATTTAGTATTTTTATTATGACTACTGTAAGATAATATTTAGGAAGCTTTCTAATATCTATTCTATTGTGTTGAAAACTAGTTTTTATGTTAAATTCTATTTTTATCAATAAAGGTGTGCCGAGATGTTGTGGTGAGAGCATGAAAGAAAGTGGAAAGGTTTTGTTGTCACTGGAACACGTCAGCTTATATTGTCTCGGTATTATTCTGGGAGGGCGCCACTGTGGTTTTTGGCATACGAGAATTGGGTATTTTTCTGGGTCAAAAATAAATTATTTTGATTTTTCAATCCAATTAAATATTCAAAAATAATTACAATTTTATTCATATATTTGACGATATACTTAATTTTTGATTTATTCTAGCATTTTTTTTCAGAAATGAGTGTGCTATTTGACTCGAAAATATGATGACGTCATAAGTTAGTTTTTGGTACAAAATTCATAATATATAGAACAATATCATTTTTGACGTTTCGATGAAGTATTGAATTTGATTAATTTAACGGGTAAATAGCAAAAAAGGAACTAATGCTAGTGCGAGTTGTCTTAACAAATATGACGATAATAATATTTTTTCACAATACATACTTACGTACATTAATTTAATGTTAGCTATTTATAGAGGCTCTTTTTGAATTTTAATAAACTCTGAAGTAGACTAGTATATAGTTTTTTGTTTAAATCATTTAACAATATTAATTAATCTTCATAGAAAAGTATTGGATCGTTATCCGTTCATGGACCGCACGAGGGTGGGTATCTGGGGTCACAGCTATGGTGGCTACGCGACCCTCCTAACGATGCTAAAGGATGACGAGAAACTCTTCCAGTGCGGTGTCTCTGGAGCTCCTGTCACCTCCTGGCTGTATTATAGTGAGTAAAAATTTAAAAATATTTTTTTAAACAATATTGAAGCACACATGTTTTTATATATTTGTTTGTGAGTACAGATGGAATGATTACTTTTGCTCAAATCTAGAATAACAGGTGTGTAATATACTTGAAGATTGTCTTGGTGGGTTCTCAGGACGTGAAATTAAGTTCGACACACGAATGACTGTAAAATGTCGTATATTGGAGTAAACTTTAAACTATATAAACAAAGTTGCACAATAATACAATGGGGTAAAACTCAAAGAATATTCGCGGCACAAATATGGGCATGTGCGTCGCGGCTCCGGCGCGGGACTCGTTGTTCTGTCGCGTCCTCGCAAGCGTCGAGCGGTCAGTGGCGGGGAAGCGGGGGAAGAGGAATAGAGAGGTGGCGTGTTTCCACTAGAGTTGCGCGCGTGCGTCCGACACAAACCAAAATCGAATTGCCGCGTTACAGATGTTATTTTAGACTTGAGAATGTTTTATGATATAGGTGTCCTAAGTTGTAAACACTTTCGCTCGTCATTAGCATACACGTTTGAAAGTAATTCCCTTCTAATATTGTAGAATATAGTAAAACTTGATCATTTTATGTAATTAATAGTCCTGCTTTCATTCCGCTCTGAACCGATGAGATCTAAATCTGTCTTTTTATAGTCTTCAAATTTCTCCTAATTATTTATTCAAAGAATTGTTTGTTTTGATTGTCTTGTGTATGTGTTTATAATTTACAATATAATATTTGTTATATTTTTAGTCACGTGTTTTGTATTTTGCATCTAAAGTCTTCTTACACATATGAAATGCTGAATATATTAATATATTTATGTTAACATATTTTCTTTCGGTTCAGCGTTTTTTTCATTGATTTTTATTGACAACAATGACGTTGTTAAAATTAACAACGTCAGCGTCAACGTAGCAATTTACTAAAACTTAGTGTTTCACGGCTTAGACACGATGTACACGGAGCGTTACATGGGCAGACCCACTGAAGAGGACAACCTCGCGGGCTACCAAGCTGGTGACGTCACACTCCTGGCGGAGAAGCTCCGCGGACATGACTTCTTCATCATGCACGGGAACGCTGACGACAATGTCCACTATCAGAACGCTGCCAAGCTGATCAAGGCTTTACAAGAACTTGATATACCGTTTGAACAGATGGTAAGCTTGTTGGAGTTACTTGTTGGTTTTGTAAAAATTCTGCAGCATTATATTTTTTATAATTTTACAATTAAATAGACCCACGATGTAATAATGTATAGTATACTGGATATAGAATATTTTAGCGATAAAAAATATATGAAAAAGTAAATAAATAATAAGTCTCGTAGAAAACAGTGTGACGTCAACGATCTTTGATCTAACGAAATGGAAATTCGACTGCACAGTTGGCGCGGTAGTTGAACAACCGGTTGCGCGCAACGTGTAGTGGGTTCGATTCCCGCACATAGCAACTCTTTGTGTGATCCACAAATTGTTGTTTTGGGTCTGGGTGTCATGTGTATGTGAAATTGTACGTTTGTAAACGCACCCACGACACAGGATAAAATCCTAGGGTAGGCCGTTTTTTTAAATCATATTTGACTTCTATATATCAAAATATGAGTATATTATATATATATATACCTATATGTCGGAGAAACATTGTCATCGCCGACATCGTCATTAGTGATTGCGGGCTTAGTGGGCGTCATGAGAGTAAAATGCGAGCACAAAACACAACGACCACAATAAACACTATTTTAATTTAGATAGTAACAATAGTTTTATTTGTTTCACAATAACGCAAAAGAAAAGTTAATAATTAGGTAGGACTGAGCAGCGGGTTCAGGGCACCGATCTTACAGTAAAATTACATAAACGATCCACCTCGACCGATAGCTAATTCATGCTCTCCCGCCAAAACTATCTCTCTTTTTATCAGTAAGATGGCGCCTCGACCCCGCTCGAGGCGCGTGCTCTGCTCTGATTGGTCGTTACTTAGGAAGTCAAATTCAAATTATCAATAATTCTAATAAATCAAATTAAGAATTTTAAGTGTGACAAATCAATTTAAATTAATGTAGGCATTTTGAAAAGTGAATATAAAACAAACAAAAATTAATGTGCGTTATGCAATGCAAGTAACAATTAACTCCCAGCTTCCTCCGACATATATATATGGACATGGACATATGTCCATGACACTTATTCGATATGTTCATGATTGTGTTCTCTTCTTTACAGTCATATCCTGATGAAGCTCACAGTCTGACTGGAGTCAACCTGCACAGATACCACGCAATGGACCGCTACTGGACGCGTTGCTTGAGGCTGCAAGATTGGCATTAATAACATTTACTAATTTATTACATTACACGTACTTTACTTGTCTACCAATAGAGGCGATTTTCGCGTGCAGTACCGATTCAATTTTGTGAACATAGTGTTATCGATAACTTTTATTTCATGTAAATATCTGTTATTGAAATTGTTAATTACACAATTATCTATGTATGAAGCCAATAATTTTGTTCCTATATTTGTAATAGTACCTACATTGTGATAGGAATGGTTTGTAAAGATGTTTGTATTTACACATGTTGTTCAATTACATAATTATTAAGTTTTTACATTATAACAAACAATAAAACATTTTTTGTTGTTGTAATTTGTAATTTGTAATTTCTATTAATAATAATTTTTTGTAATTTGTACTTTTTGTAATTTGTACTTTGTAATTTCTTTGTAATTTCTATTTTCTGTGTATAATTTTCTATGGGCATGTGCCTGAAATAAATGAATTTTATTATTTTATTTATTATTTTATTTTCTAACAATGTACTTACTTTAATTGTTTTTTTTTAAACGTTGCCACACACTAGGATTCCACCTGTGTCGTGGGTGCGTTTACAAACATACAATATCACATACACATGAAACCCAGACCCGGAACAACAATCTGTGGATTACACAAAGAATTGTTCCGTGCGGGAATCGAACCCGCGACACGTTGCGCGGCAGCCAGTTGCCCAGCCACCGCGCCAACCGTGCAGTCAATTGTTTTCATAGTTGGATTTTAAAATATTTCAGTAGTCTCATCATCTCAGTCTAGAAATTTGTCTGAAGTATATTTTCTCGTTTACCGGATCACCTGATAGTAAGCAATCGGCGCCAACCATGGACACTCGAAATACAAGAAGTGTTACGAGAGCTTTACCGGCCTTTTTGGGGACTCGCAATTTTATTAGGGATTCGGGGATTGGGGAGATTGGGGAGGGGGGTAATTGGGCCTCCGGTAACCTCACTCATACAACGAAACACAACGCAACTATATATAGACTCCTTTACTACGGTTAACATATAGTTGGTAAATAGTGGGCGTTACTTTACATTTACATTGTAATAGGCTTCATTCTCTGTTTTTTCCTTTCAACAAGCATACAAAGCTGATAACAACTTATTTGGTAATAAATAAATAATTGAACAGAACACAAAAGAAGGTAGGTATAATATTACATTTTTGACTTCGATGTTTTTTTCTCATTCACACGACGAAACACAAAACATAATGCAAGCGTTGTATAACCACAGTTTTCTGTGAGACCGTGGCATCACTCCGGTCGAGCCGGCCCATTCGTGCCGAAGCATGGCTCTCCCACACTTATGTCTGTCATTTTATACGGAAAGGGCATATAACGTCAAGTAATGGAAGACAGAGAATGGTGCGTCAGGTTAACTCAGGTTGGCAGGTTATCGACATATTATACATTTATACAGCATACATTATCATAATTATTTAGTAGGCGGAAGTTAGATACTGTTGGACAGTTACCCAACTGCAGCAAAGCCTAGTTTTAATATAAAATTCAATTAATTAAAATTGAGTAGGCAGGTAGAAAGGTGAATATGAATTAATTAATATAATTTCCATCTTCTTATCTCCAAAGCTATGGTTCTTATAATGTGCTATTTATTAATACAATTTTGGAAAAGATGAAACGATAATGTCGTTTGGCAAAAACCTATATCTTGTATATATATCTATATTACATATAATAAAATTGTAGGAAAGTGAAAACTGTATATTGAATATTTTTTTAGATGAATGCTTGAGGCGTGATCTACAATCGATACCGAAGCTAAAAATATGGTTTTTAGAATTTTTGTCTGTATGTATGTCCGGGCTAAACTCAATAAGTAGGTACTACATGGATTTACGTAAAATTTTGCATGAATATTACTAACAGGTCGGGTCAACATATAGGCTGCTTATTATCACACTATCACCTATAGGGGAGGAGCTGCGAATCACTATTCCACGCCTACGAAGAAGCACAGCTAGTAAGCAATAAAATTGAAACCTGACTGCAAAAAAAACACGCTTTAAAAAGAATGAAACAAGAAAATTTTCTTAAAGGATAGCCGTGGTCGTTTTATTATGTACCTACTGTAGAGCAATTCAAACTGGTTTGCCAATAATTGATCCAGATGTTATCAAAAATCCTGTTTCTATGTCCGCATTGTTTCGTGTTTTTTTAAGACGTCATAGTCATTAATTTTGTTTCGACCCGAAACTGTCGTTTCTTTTAGCACGGTTTATTATTTATTTTTACTACTTAATTAGTAGTTAAGGTAAATAGCTAGGCACTAAGCTTGTCTTTTTTGCCGTTTGTTTAAAAACCCAAGTTTGTGGAAGATATTACAAAATCGTGCTACATTCTTGGATCAGTATTTGAATTCCTTCTTTACAAGTGAAACAAGTGAATTTATTTCTGCAAATAGGCTACAAGGCAGCACTTTTATACGTCAATTTTATCAAGCGAACGATGAGGTCGACATTTCCTAACTGACTACTCTGAGAATAAATACCGAAACAAACTCACGAGGTCTTTATTTACGTTTTACATTATTTATAAAAAATGGTCTTATACACGTAAGTAAATCTGAAATTAATTCAAACTTAATTAACTGTTTCGTTTGTGCTAACAGAAAACGGTTCGTAAATTATTGCATTTCACTACTGAATTGCATTACTTAGCTATCTAGGATATAATTATGCTGATAAGCACGCACTTACACTAAGCTAGTTCACATTTATTAGAGAACTAGTTGACCCGGCGAACTTCGTACCGCCTAAAATTATTTTTCTCACCTTTGGAACCTTCCCTAGATTTCAAAGTTAAAGTCAAAATCATTTATTTCAATTAGACCAGGAAGACTTTAGAACGTCAACGAAAAAAAAATTTTAAAGTGAAGCTATTTGCCCATTCCAAGGCGTAGACTCCATAGGTTATTCTTTTCCAATCAGGTTCACAATACAATTCTCCAGTTACAAAGTTTTATTGGTTCGATAGTGCGAGAACAATGTAACACTAAAATACAGTGATCGAAAAAGAAAATAACCTTACAGACAATAAATAAATTTCCACTAAACAAAACTAGCTAAATCGGTTCAGCCGTTTTCGAGGTTTAGCGAGATTGACGAATAACAACTCATTTTGATAGAAAAAGAAATGGGGAAGTGTAAGTACACACATTACATAAGATGACAACTAAAGCCCATGGCATTTATTCACAAGGAAGACACCATAACCACTCCGCCTACAAAAACGAGATAACAAAGAGACGTGCGTAGTGATTATAGTTTAAACGGTGTGTTATTAATTAGTGCAACACATTTTCTATTTTATTACTGGAGTGTAGAGTTGAAATTTGTTTGAAAAGTTTGGAGTAGTTTGACCTGCTATGTGCCTACTTGTTGCACTATAAAGGCGTTATGCAAGAGCCCTCTTACCTCCTTTCACTTATATTGCTCATCAATAGCATGTGTGAGGGACGTCACTGGATTTTAACTACTTTCGACCTAGTCGATTTAGCAAAGCAACTGCTGAGTAAAGGGTGCTATTCTCAGTAATAGTCAGAGAACCTGTAAGGTTGTTCGCAGCTCATAAGTACTGTGGTAATAGATTTTAAATAATTCTTTTTTAAGTGAATAAAAATTTTACTGTTGTGTTCACGTATGCAGGTTACGATCACGGCTAAGGAAACCATTTGATTTGATTTGATTCTCGATTTTAAATTAGATTTCACTGGTAATAAATCGAGCTGTTATTTCCTCAATCAGAATCGAAACAACGAAAGACTGAAAACGTAGGATTTCCTGGTTGATCGTATTTTTCTGAAGTATCTACCTAGGTAAGGTGGCTATTTATTAGAAGTAGGTTGGTGGGTGGCACTAGCTGCAGAGTTTATGATTCTATCCATCTCATTTACCGGAGCCATATTTGCACTAAAACAGAAACCGAGAAAAAGAATTTGGCTTTGAATATCGGACCAGATGGGACTAGGCAAAGGGAATGAATTGTGACTACGATTTAAGTATTTTTATTATAATCAACCAGTATCTGATATATACATTGGTATATAAAGTATATATCATACCCCGACGTGTAACAACAATCTGTTCGTACCGGCAGGCGGTTTGTCAACCGCTGTACCGACGAGTAATTTTTTTAGCTTACTAGACGATTTAGATTTGTTATTGTACTGTTTTTTTAAAAAACTATTCCCCCTAGGTACTATGTTTTTCTCATGTGCCGTGGGTGCGTTTATAAACATACAATTTCATATACACATGACACCCAGACACGGAACGACAATATGTGGATGACACAAAGAGTTGCTCAGCCACCGCACCAACCGTAACCGCACACTGCAGGGCGTACAGTTCAATTGCACCAGGAAATTGCCGCCCTCACTAACGAGCATTCACGTGTAATGTAACATTATAGATTCGACTTTGAGCATAACATTACAATAATACCTCCCTGACTAACAAGTATTTACGTGTAATGTAACATTATAGATTCGACTTTGAGCATTACATTACAATAATACCTCCCTGACTAACGAGCATTCACGTCTAATGTAACAACAAGCATTTGCGTGTAATGTAGCATATTGATTCGACTTTGAGCATTACATTACAATAATACCTCCCTGACTAACGAGCATTCACGTGTAATGTAACAACAAGCATTTGCGTGTAATGTAGCATATTGATTCGACTTTGAGCATTTCATAGCAAGATGTCAGACGAAGTGGCCGGGGGGCATCGATTTTACAAGTTGTATCAAGATATTACACATTGTAGGTATCATTACAAGGTTCGCTTTGTAATGCTCGGTTCTCCTCATTCTCTGATGTAATGCTCAGATCTGTAACGTTACATTACAAGCGAATGCTCCCGGTGAGGGAGCACCTTAACATTTAAACGTGCTTCTTCAATATAAATGTAATGATATGTAAATAGCTTCTTTGAAAACGAACGGTGTGCAGCGAACATCGAAAATACTAATTGCGGCCCACCTATCGTGTATTTTAGTACACATTTCCCATTTAATTTTATTCGTGTTAATATTAAGTTTATTAGAATTGAATAATTTAACTATTAACTTCCAAGTTTATGCTAGTTGTGCATTGTACAATTTCTATACAAAATCGTTATGAATGTTAACTGCGCGTGTAATTGAACAAGGATTATATTTTATGAAATTTTGTAAGCAGCTGTTCTTTAGTCGAGTCATTGTTCGTCGATATGCATGATTTGCAGTTGAATTCAATTTTCTTCCGATAATATTAACAATAATCTTTTATAT